GCTATTATCGGAGACGCATCGAAAAATCTTTTTTCGTTTGAGAAGTTTTATTTCCTTTTAATCCTCGTACGCTGTCCATGAGCATTCTAACTCACAAATCTGAACATTGAGAGAGGGATCTTTTCAAAGCCGGATTCTTACAAATTTTTCGCTGAAGAGATAGTTTAAAGAGTCTAGCTAATCCAGTTCTCTCGCAAATCCTGGCATTTTCAAAATCATCGATAATTTGCAGAAAGTAAGAGCGAGCATTGCGAGTAAATTGTCTTGCTTGGAAACTCAACAAAGTGAACGAGGACTCGAACCCAAAACCGCCCAACCCAGAATTGCTCCCTAGATTCATATGAATATCAGAATAATTCCTTCAAAACTTGTTGCAGGCTCATTTCATTCATATTAACTTCTGAATTCGTTGTTTTTTTGTTTCTTTCTTTTTCAGAAGAAAATGAAGAGCCTTGTCTTGTTTTTGATAACTTTGGCTCTGGCCAAGTCACTTCCACTCGAGACCGATCAGAACACCGAAGTCGCGCTGAATGAGTACGAGAAGATTGGTAAGTGTTTCAGTTTTTATCAGTTTTATTAGAATCTACCTCAGGTCTAACACGGTGTGCAACATCCAACAATACTTTCGCTAATCAGACTTCTACTATTTTTAAATCAGTTTCCTCTTCCTTTTTTTGCACCTCTCCTTTTAGTTAAAGGAGGGGCCAGCGATCTTTGGCGCACGCAGCTCTTTTAACATAATAAAACGATCTATTTTTTCCCTTTTAATATATTTTTGCTTGTCTTATTCCTTCGCATTTCTGGCAAAGCTCAATATAATATAGAGTGTTAAAATTTTATTTTAAATATACTCATTTTCCACAAGAAAATCAGCGTGATCCCAACCTCTCTTGTTTTTTAGAAATACCTGTTTTCGATTTCGAGGTATCAGATACAGCTGATAAGCTTGAAATTGCTGAAAGAGGTGAGTCCGTCATAATCTGTCGATGATTGCAAAGGTTTTTTTTTCTTTACTTTTTCAAGGTAATACAAAATATCGTGTTTTACAATGTTGCTGTGAGTTGTTCTCAGTGGACTGTCTCCCCATCAATAATATTCTGCATGCACTAGTTCATGCCTAGCTTCGATAAGTGCTTCATTAATTGGGGCTTGTGAAGTGATGCGCAAAGCTTTCGGAGCTTGTTGCCTGTTTTGAAAAGAACGGAATGACAAGTCGTTACTAAATTTCATTTGAATACACTCATTTTGCAGCCAAACCTGATTAGCTCTGTTTCTAGGTGCGAACGTTCTTACTGTAACTAATTGCAAGGCATTCCCATTTCCTTTAACCGTGCTGAAATTTCCATTATGAGCAGAAAGCAAAGCCCTTCCCGTTTCCCAATCTCAAGTGAAAAGGCTCCTAAGTGAGTTTCCTTCCCTCTCAAATTTCGCCACCGACAGGAGCGCAACTGGCGCAAGAGCGTGCCCTATTCAAAAGTTAGTTCAGATAACAATAAATGCGAGACCTCTATAGTTCTCTGTGTATCCCAAGTAATGCTACTGGCCCTTAACGAAGCCCCAACCATAAAACAAGGATGTTCAATTACGTGGATTTTTTGTTTGCCCATGTTTTCGAGTTTTGATTAAGTTGTAGAAGTGGATGTGCTTGAAGTCAAAATTTCACTTCTTAAAACGGTACGATGTGAACGTCCAGAACATCCTAGTAATAAGAGGACATATAAATTTTATCATGAGGTAGGATAAGGCTTTGAATTAAATTTGGAGGGAAGCGGAAAGATTTCACTTTCGTAAAAAAAAAAAAAAGGACATTTTGAAGGACAGAATGACCAATTTGTCTCCCACGGGACCTCAATCAAAAAACAGACAAATCAGTCTTGAGTCCAAAGGAAATTTATTTTGAAGCTAACCTCATAAAGTGTAATTCAGATGCCAAGTTTCCAGGATATCCGTGAGATGAACGAAAAATTTTATGAGGATCTTAGAGAGAGAGCGTCTTAAAATACATGTGTTTGCTGGTAATATTTGACGTTGTTGAAATCTTAACTCATAGGTATTAGCGAGGGAATATATGCCATTGTAAACGTCGAAACAAAGCGCCTCTTGTTCCAGGACGGCCCTAAAATAAAAGGGTCTCGTGGAGCAGAAAAGGGGTGGAAGGCTAGTTCAGGCTTCGAAGCACCAGCTGTTGTCGGCGCTGATGCAAATTACTACAATCGAGCTCTTTGGAAGATCATTCCTCAAGGTGGTGACAAATACTTGATCGAAAACTTGGAGACGAAAAGGTACTTGTTTCAAGATGGCCCTGTCATGAAAGGGCCTCGTGGAGCAGAAAAGGGGTGGGCGGCTAGTTCAGGCTTCAAAGCACCTGCTGTTGTCGGAGCTGATGCCAACTACTACAATCGAGCCATCTGGATGATTACTCCACTAAGTGATGGCAAGTACTTCATTGAAAACGTCTTCACGAAGAGGCTCGTGTTTCAAACCGGTCAACCGATTGAAGGGAAGCGTGGAGCAGAAAAGGGGTGGAAGGCTAGTTCGGGCTTTGAAGCACCTGCTGTTGTCGGTGCTGATGCCAACTACTACAACCGAGCCTACTGGATACTACACAAAGTGCGTTAGACTGATTAAAAAAAACGTGCCAACAACGTTAAGGGTAGCAGTTATAATGGAACTGTTAGTAGCTTTTCCTGAGTTGTAGGGCAAGTTTGTCAAATATTTAAACTTCAAGCTTTTGACTGTAGTGTGAGAAATAAAGGCACAAATTAAAAGAGATGATCTAGTTTGCATGGATCTATAATCGAAGACAGTTGATGAAGAAGGAAGTCAAGGGATAAGAAATTAATTCTTTCTTCCCATCCCCTTGTTAACTTATATTACGACCAGTTTTCATAGGCGAATTTCAATGATTTACATCAACGTATTTAGACTTTACTGGACAAAAATGTAGCAAAATGCCCCTATGTGCTTCGTGGTTTGTAACTCGTTTCCACATGAATTCGAATCGACCATGCCAAACCAACCTCCCCTCGTACCAAACCTTACCCTGGACTTCGAATCGGAAACACACAGTCATTTGCTGGAAAGCCAATTATCCCAATAGGAGCACCAGTTTTGTCGTTCCACTTGCTGTGGCAGTTAAATCCTTGCCAAAAACCAAACGAATTATTCGGCTTATTCATTTTAATATTCCAAGGAATGAGACTTGTGTCTTGGCTAAAGCGGTACGCTTTTAACCGTTACCCTTACTTCTTGCATGACTCATAAAGCTAGAATTAGTTGTAGTAGTTAAGCGATCCATAAAGTCCATATAAAACATCATAAGGTGGCCAAACAGAGCCAGTTTCATTGCCATCAGGACTATGTTGAAGTGGGAATGGTTTCCACCCAACTGATTAACTATGCCAAGTACATACTAAATTATGGGGTGTGTTTGTAACGTTTTGTCAATTATGGACCACTGGTCGGTTGGTTACATGGTTGTCTCATAGTGCACCCTCAGGCCCAGCGTTCCGATGAGAATTCAACGACAAAATCAGCGTTTAGTTTATAACCTTCCGTCACTGAAAAATATTTATCATCAGTATATCTGTCCTTTCTCTTGTAGCATTTAAGTGTCTCATCAACTCCGGGAACAAAACTCCAAAGCTGAGTGTAAAGCTAAGACTGATTGCATCACTCACGGCTGCTGAAATACACACGACCCTTGACCACGGTGTATCTTGGAACCTTTTACCGCTAAAGAAACGCTTCAGCTTTTTAAAAGCGTTTTCAATGCCCTTTTCTCCATCCATTTGAGTTAGATTTTCCCAAGTCTCCTTAAGAGAACTCAGTCGAGTTACTAAAATTAACTCGGGCGAAAAAATGGCGTGAACTCCGAGCATGCGCCTCTGTATTCAAATAAAGCCATTCCATGTACTTCACAACAACATCACGCCTGGAGCTAATTTTGACTAAGGAATTAAGTCCAATATTTAAATTTGATCACGTTTTCTGCAAACCGGGTTTATATGTCCTTATGTTTAGGCAGCATATAGCATGATGTATGAAGTTTTAACATAACGCTCCCTCTGATTGGTTAAGACAGTGTGCTTTGTTAGAGAACAGAAGAAACATTTGGGCATTCTTATGTATTCTCCATCTTAAGTATACTCGTGCTCTCTGGTGGAGAGGGACTGGTGAGGTCCCTGCAGCTGGTATAACCTCGCTATTCTAGCTGTTGCGGAATAAGTACTTAATGACTGGCCTAGACGTGATATTTGTTTTCACGACACCTTTAATATTTTCATAGCGAAACCTCAAGTGTCATCCTATGGGTTGTCACCCAGGTCACACATGGGTGATATTTGCGGTGGTTTTGATTTGCTGACCCTATTTTCCAGCCTATTCATAAGCACAGACTACTTAATGAAGAATTCCAAGCCAAACGTGTTGTAATGTCATCTACTTATGGGCGGATTAACAAAAACTTGACCTTGACCGGATAAAAAGGCCTCTTGAGGTAGGTTTCATATACTCGAAGATCGTCTCGTGTGTTCATAAGCCGCTGGATAGTCTAGACAAAATTATGATAAAAAGTTATTCAGAGAGGGTAGCTAAGCGTTTACACGTGACGTGTTTAAAGTCTAAAATTAATATGTGACGCATGAATTTTAAAAAAGGTGCGAGAGTGATTCGTGAATATATGAACTAGCGAATCAGTGAGTTGTTTCTTTCATATAGATCACAAAATGTACAAGCGACTCACGTGATTATTTTTCCATTGTAACTTCAACAAAACTACTTACGCAATCGTATCCAAGGGACCAGACCAATCATTTATCTTGAGGGGGTGGGGGAATGGTGGGGGAATGGAGGAATTTGGGGGATCACATGGCTTTCAGGGGGAACATAGGGGGATCAGTTGTCGCTAACAAAGTATAAAGGGGGGGGATTATGGAAACTTGACCGCAGCAGAAGACATTAAAAACAACGAAAACATTAAACAAATCTCGTAGGTTTATTATGTTGCGAACGCGCGTCGATTTCTCTCCCGTATCTCAAAATAAACAAGTCATTTTTTATTCTTCTTAAATTATGCCGTTTGTTTGGTTAAGATGGTTCGATATAAGCATCGTTCCCTTTTTTTTGCGCTTCTATGGACCTCGACTTGGTCCCGGTCCATTGAAACGCAAAAAAAAGAACTCTGCTAATATCTAGCCATCTTGACCTCACACTTGGTCAATAACGCATATATATCAAAAGTGCAAATTTTCAATCTCTAGAGCCCGGACTTAAGAAGGATACGGTCGAGTCCAGGTAGAAAAAACTCTTCCCGTTGCTTTTAACAGAAATTTTCCACGGCTGTTCCCCATGAAAATAAAGAAAGTTAAAGTACTTCACAGCTTCGTGTTAAATCATCTGATCTCCTTTGCTCATTCGTTCCTCTTATTAGCGTTTTTGCCCATAAAATTAAATCTTGTTAAAGCCAAACTAATCATATGCCATTCACCTTACATAACAAGCCTTCGATTTTAAAGGCAATGAGGCTTTTCAGTTTCACTATAAAAGACGAAAGACTTTTACTCTGAAGACATTGTTAAAGTTGCTGAAAAAGATGGGTGCGATTATTTTTTAATTAGCTCTGAGCAGGGAAATTATTGGCTGCCACATCGGCTCTTGGAGCAGTACACTTTGCTTCTTTGTCTTTCATTTCTCTTGACACTATTGGGCTGACTCGAGACTTTTCTCGGTTGATGAAAATCAATGCAAAGGGAATCAAAAATGCAAACATCACAACACCGCCGGTCATGTAAAACGAATTTATGTAGTTCCCTGTTTGGTCTGCCATCATTCCTGTGGAAGTCAACGCAAAACCAAAGAGAGAAAGATTAGTATGAAGCATTCAGATCAAACGTTACGGAACGAAGGTGGAAAGGTTGGTGAGTTGGAGAAACGACTCTCGCAAGAGCCTGTCACTAAACTTGTAAATTATACCACAGGTTAGAGAGCGCTGTTCGATTGAGTTTTGTAAAATCCAAAAGCAGAGAATCAAAACGGCCGATCAAAAGGAGAAAAATTCCTATAAGAGAAAGTAAGCATTCAAATATAAAGAAACCAAACCGCCTAAAACACGGGAACACTGGGGCGACCAAGTTGTGATTGGTTTTAGGTTGAGGGAATGGCGAAATTTTCCAAATCAATCACAGAGCGTGGCAAAAAAAAAAAAGCAAAGCAGTCGTCGATTACTTTCCTTACTTAATTGAAATGGCTCTAGTACAAAAAAATGCAATAAATGCAGAGCGAGTCGTTTAATGATAGCCAGTTGCAGTGTGGAGGCTGCTACCACCTAAAATACAACATTTGACAGTCATCTGAATAAACAATAATGAAAAATATTTACCGAATGGAAACCTATCCCTGCTCAAGCTGTGGCTTTTCAAATGCGAGTGGCCTAAAAACTGGGAATACTTTCAATTTTTGCACGCTCATTATATTTCTGTATTTTATTTTGCACCACGACCATTTTTTTTTCGAAGCTACCTAGCATAGAAATTGTATGGGGCATTTACTGCCATGTGAAAGCCACTTATCGTGTAAACTGCGGTAAAAGCCGCAACAACACACGTGAAAAAATATAAGTTTTTTTTTCATTCATTGATAAAGACGACTTGTCTTGTCAGAAAGCGCTATTGTGTTTATAAAATAAACAAAATAATATATATGGTAACATGTAAATATGGAATTTGTTTTCTCCTGTTCAACTCGATAACTCACTCGTGAACTATCGAGTCGAATGCTCAAAGAAAAAATTGCACGTCTACAACCACCCATGTATCATGCTCTTTACATTACATCTTTTCCCTAGCTTTGAAAGAAAGGGATCTACGTTTTCACACCGTTAGATGACAGAAATCCTTTCTTACGTAGAAAAAAAAAGCGTTGAATAACAAGTACATGATCATGCAGGCGTCTAAAGTTCAAACGAAATGGCTTTTAGGAAAGTAGCATTTAACTTCTGTGCGGAGAAATACTTACCAGCAATTGGTCCGCCAGTCGCTGCTGAAAACGAGTAAAGCAGGCATTCGATACAGAATGAAGCTGTTTTTCTTTTTTTGTCCACACAACTAAGTAAGATGTAACACGATGTTGATATAAAAATTCCGTCGCTTGTTCCATAAGCACAGCTAAATACAACTAAGGCCCAGTATTCGGTTGCAGAAGGTAGCAGGAGGGCAGATACACCACCAATAAACAGGGACGACTGATAGACAAACACTGGGTTAATCTTTGGATATTCGCACAGTTTTCCTGACAGAATCCGTGCAAGGGATGAGGTAAGGCCAATGAAGATGAACAATCGAGAGGCACTCTGCGCCTTGATCCCAAGATCCTCACAATATTTGACCTAGTTAGGATTTATACAGATTGTGGCTTCATAAATTTGTCAATGGAGCATACGGAGAGAAGAGGAGACGACAGAGAGAATTCCCATTATTCCACAGATCTTCAAAGTAAACGTCTTAATTTTAAAAGGATTGTATATATTAAAAAAGGTTGCAAATTGATTTCGAGTGCAGGTCATAGAGTCAATGGTTGTCACTTGCTTGTTCCATGCGCTTAGTAAGCAGACGTGGATATGCACCTCGTCCACATTGATGGTTGGAAAAGACTGACTATTCATCTACAAAATAATGTCAGGATCCCGGGGCAATACTTGCCTAAATGCCTAGAGGCTGTGAAGACGGGGTGTATTTGGTTTTAAACTCCTGCTCAGAGGAACTGATGTTTTAACAACCGAGACCTTCCGCTTAGCACAAAACCTGATACAAAACATGCATGTTGATCCTTACTGTGGCACACAAGTATTAACAAGACCATGCAAAGCTCAAGCAACTATTGAACTCATGATACAAAATACAGATTTTCTTGAATATGGACCTTCGCCCATATCGACACATTTATCAAATATTTTTTCCTTTTTAAATGACAAAAGAATTAGCTATACTATGAAAAGCTGTATACTAACCAGATTGATGATTGGAATTAACATGCCAAAACTTCCAACTGTTATAGAAATGACTACAAAAGTGTAAACAGGAAATGTCCACACGCTGCAGTAAAAAGTGATTCTTCCCTTAATTCCTAGTTTTTGTTCCGCGTCTAAAGTTTCTGATTCCACATCCACCTCCGATGTTGTCTCTACATTTGGATTGAAATTCAAACTCAAAATGCAAACAAGAGCGAAGGTTGCCGTCATTACTCTAAATGTGTTTCTCCATCCAAACGCGTCCAAAAGAGCCTGTAGCAACGGACCGTTGTAAAGGACACCTGCACCAGATCCTAATGCCGTTATACCAACAGCTAACGAGAGTTTTTGTTTGAAATACGTTCCAACAACCAAGAAGTAAGAGTTGTAAATGAAACAGGCCCCCATTCCGTACACCAAACCGTAAGTAAAGTACATAACAGTGAGGCTATTAGCGAAGGAAGTCGCTACCAATCCTGCAATGCACAGGAGTCCTCCCATAAAACATGTGATGCGACATCCAAAGTGATCACACAGATATCCAGCCAGCAAACTGGCAAACCAAACCATGGCCAGGCCGATGGAGCCAACCCAGGCTGTCAAAAAGATGATATTCATTGATATTAGTTCCATTCATTTTGGTATTTTAAGTACCAATACAAAGTCAGCTGGATGTCTTTGGGAAAAACATACTGTAACGGTTGTTGACCTTTCAAGAGAGTATTATTATGTTCCTCTTTAGACAAGTCTAGTGTCGCAATCCTGCATCTCATCTACGTTATGAGCCAAGACGCACGTGGGTCGCGTATTAAAAAGATCTTAGAGTTTTGTGCAGCACTGGAAACTTCTTTATTACAACAATTTACATACTAAACATCTGCCACTTTACCACTTGGTCAAGTAAGGTCACTTAATTGGACGTCCATAATAATGTTCAGAAAATCTGAATTCATTCGTTTACGCTTCCATGATTTCCAATGGATCATTTTAATGGATTTGCTCACTCCATTCCTGGTTTTCCAGCATCACTTTACTAAACTGATGCAAGAGTTATTTTACATATTACCTTTTCGATTCGCAGCTCATACAGAAGATATTAATTTTACATAATCAACAGAAAGCCACAAGCTTATTGTTTATTTGAAAGACTCCCTCATTAGTACTCTGCGGGGGAAGACTCTTCAGGCTTAAATAACTTAAGGCCGGTTATTTAAACAAAAGTTTTCAAAGGCTGCAATCATGAACAAACAGTGGATCACAACAATTCGCTATGGATGCGTTGTTTTTTTAAAAATGAACAGTCCTCCTCATTGTATAACACAGGTCTTCTAAAACAGTTTGTAAAAATCAACGTTTTCAGTGATAAAGCGTTTGGCTTTATTGAACATGGTTTACATGCGTTACCAACAAGAATGAGAAAAAACAACAGAAAGCGGTCTCGTGTTGCTTCCGCGAAAGCTTTTCCGTTTTATTCATACTGGTTATTTACATGATTGTCTCGTAGTGCGCCCTCAGGTCTAAGCCAGTCCTCTGACGAGAACTGAACGACAAAACCAGCATTTAGCTCATAAATTTCCGTTGCTTAAACAGATTTGTGATCAGCATACCTGTCCTTTCTCTTGTGGCATTAAAGTACCTCATCAACTCCGGGAACAAAACTCCAAAGCTGAGTGTAAAGCCAAGGTTGATTGCATTACACACAGCCGCTGAAATACACACGACCCATGACCACGAGCTGTCTTGGAACCTTTTACCACGAAAGGAACGCTTCAACTTTTTAAAAGCGATGCCCTCCTCTCCATCCATTTGAGTTAGATTTTCCGATGGTTTCCTGAAGAGAACTCTCTCGAGTTATTACAATTAAGCTTGGCAAAAAATGGCGTGAATTACAAACATGCGCCTCTGTATGCAAACAAAGCCATTTCATGTACTTCACGCCAGGGGCCAAATTTGATCGATGAACCAAATCTTATTTTTAAATTTAATCACGTTTTCTGCAAACCGGGTTTATGTATCATTATGTTTAGGTAGCTAATTGCATGATACACGAAGTTTCAATACAACGCTCCCTCTGATTGGTTAGAACAGTCTGCTTTATTAGAGTACGGTTTAGCCTCACGATCGTAACTTTTGCGGAATAAGCACTTAATGACAGGCCTAGACGTGATATTTGTTTTCACGACACCTCTAACATTCCCATGGCGAAACCTCAAATGTCACTCGGTGGGTTGTCACCCATGTCACACACGGGTGATTTGCTATGCGGTTTCCAGCCGGTTTACGAAATGTATAGTGTTAAAAGACAAAATTGTTATCTAGCAAGAATTTTCATTATAGGTGTTTTTTGACTTATTTAAACGTTGAAAATGAATGGAAATAATAAATTACCATAAGCCATTCAGTAAAAATTATAATAAGCCAGTTGATCATTTCTTATTCCTTTGGTTGTCTTATTTTAACACATTCGACACCTGTTTTTCTTAGAGGTGACCTGGGGTGTAAACATGTAGTACTTTTCATCCTCCGCACTGAATTTATAATCAGGAAACTTATATGAATAACACGTAGCTCTCTTAGAGGCGGTACCTTGGGTACGCCCTTCCTTCTCCAAATTTTCTGTTTATTCTGTCGTTGTGTAACAGTCTTCGAGTCTCTTAGGATATCTCTTCAACGATGATTTTAATTCTGTTAGCAAGTTTATTATAATTTTTATATTGTCAATATTGTTTTTGTTTTGCCCGAACTTGACCGTAAGACTAAGAAATTTAAGGTAGAAAATCATTTTGAAAAACGTAAACATCTCGAAGGTACCTACTTAGTATGCGAACTCCGCTCTGCGTAGCTTAATGCGATTCGTTAGTTAAGTGTAAAAGCATGACGAAGGTTAGAGATTGACAGCTTAGTAAGCGTCACCTTTATAAGCGGTGACCCACACTTTTCTTGTGACGGATCTGAGCTAGTTCCGAGGTAATAAGTTGTATGTAAGAAAGAGAAGAATTAAGAAAACTTCAACTGTATAGAGTGTAAGAAAATACATCTAACAATAGAAAACAGTACAGAGAATATCCAAACTGATGTTAGGGTGTAAAGGCTTAACAACCGTATTATGTTCCTCTTCAGTGTAAGTGTTTCTAGTCTGACAGCCTCATTCGAGGGACTGGTCGTTGTTTAATCGGTTTAAAGATGGGAGATGGGTGGGAGGGGAGGGTCAGTGGATTTTGGTTGCCTTACAATTAAATTTACCTGATCCCTCCTCGGGCTCTTTAGCATTCTAATGATCCCTCATTATTGGTTGTCAGTAATAGTCAATCATAGTCCCCCCGTCTGTTAGCAATGACTGATTCCGTCCGTTCCACCGACACCCCCTCCCCCCCCCCCCCAAGATAACTTATCCTCTAACCCTTTAAGTCCCACTAGTGACCAACACAGAATTTCTCCTTTCACATCAGTACGATATCAAGCAGACAAGTAATGAGAATAAAGAAAAATATCAATTAGGGGACTATTGATTGATGCAATTCCAAATTCTCCAAACTAACATCACATGAATTTTATGACAGACAATAAAAAGAATTACGAATGAGATCTTGGGAGTTAAAGGGTTAACCTTGAGTCGATGGATGAACACGTTGACGACGACACATGAACTTGACACGGATTGCTCTTCGAATATCTTTGTTACCGGCAAAGTTGATCAATGGATTAAGCAGGCCATTGAGCGTAAACAACAAACCTGAAAAACGTACAAGGCCCTCAGATAGCATCTCCAAAGCAATCAGTAATAAAGGAGTTAGAAATCCTGGTAGGAAGGAGAAGAAAAAACACAAAATAATCACCGAGATCATACGGGTTATTTTCTTTTCTCTGTTTACCACAGTACCAATTTGTCCAATTGACATCTGTATGTTTCTAGCATATCTCCTGCTTACGAGTAGGGAACCGACATAATTGTAAACAATTGCCAAAACCAAGACTGTAAATAGCAGATAAAATGCACCCTCAAAGTAGATGACAAGAGACATGTTCTTAAGTTTGAACCAGTAAAGAAGAACAGGCATCAGCGCGCTTAAAAGCCAGTTAAAAATTATAACTTTGACGACGCGTGATGTGCTCGAGTAAGCACGATACCAAAGTGGCTTGCTTATTGCCAGATAACGGTCTCTGCTAATCGTAGTTAAGTTGCTTAAGGTGGCCAGGAAAAAAAAGTTACCAACAAGTACAACTTCTTCACCGTTCTCAGGGCACATATACGGATCACGTAGAACAAACGTGTAATAAATAAGAGTAGCGAGAGCCCATAGCAAATCAGTAACTGCTAAGCTGCACAATAATAGCAATGAGGGATGTCGAAGAGATCTAGTGCCTATGACAGTCATGCAGATAACCGTGTTTAGAATAAGTGACGTGGCAGCCATAATCATATCCAGTGGAAGAACGACGTAGTTGCTAATGTCTCGGATCTGGTGTTGGAGTTTTTCATCAAGGGCGGGAATTAAACACGCTTCATAGGGGTACTGGCTGGAGTTCATTTTCTCGTTCACTGTCATCCTATTTCTGCGCTCTGTCTTAAAAAAAAAAACACAAGTAAAGTTAAGGCATTCCTGGCACTCCTTCCCGCAAATTTACATTTATGAGATCTGTCAAAATATTGCTGAAAATTGATTCTATCTTCACATCTAGAACGTTATTGAATCTGGATTATCTGACAAAAATTATTCAGAAAGATTCAATGAAAGTGTGAAATTTAATATTTCAGTGGATGTGGTCATAATCTACTGTTTTCACGTATTCCCATTTAACTCGAAGAGAATTCTTACCAGAATATAAAGCCTCAGCCAGTTGATTTGCAACGGTAAGACTTAATATTATGTGGGAGTGCGAAATAAAACACGAGTCAAAGGAAACACTGAAATATATATTTAGAAATATCATTTTTCAACCTAAAAAAAAACCAGCGGCACCACGATTCACGCATTTACGAGATTTGACGTACACCCAACAAAATATTCGTTTACATACGTCGTTTATTTGTGCCTAGTTTCAAAGCCTGTTGGTAAGTGTACGAAAATAAATTGAAATGATCACATGCAATCCCACGTTTGAATCAACAAGCATTTTGTTTAACAACATCGAGCCTCGATGGAAGGAAATTGACTCATCTCTGCTTGTTTTCAATTAACAGCCATAGCCGTAGCGAGGAGATGGTTTAAGAGATTCTTCAGAAGAGATAAACACCAATTAGGACCCACCTTTCTTTGATACTCTACAAAGGGTCTACCAACAAGGAGCGAGTCTCTAAATGTGAGAATCAAATTTCAGTATTATTGATAAATATTTGAAACTACAGGTACTTCACAAGCTTAATTAGCGGTCCTAGCATTTCTTGTGTTTTTATGAAAAATCTAAACGTTTATTGATTACTGTCAACACTGAGCGCTCCGGACCGGAGTTTCATGAAAAACCTGGTGCAGTAGGTTTACAAAAGCGACAAACATTACTTAACTGGCTTACATTGCGCGAAAGATCCGTCGTTTATGGTAATTTTTCTTCTTATCTTTTCTAAGAGATTTCACGTGTAAATAACCATCGTTTCATCTTGAAAAAAAATATATCTGGTAAACTCGAGCGGGGAAAATTGCAAAACAAATTAACGGTGTTATCACGAGCCTCGCACAAGCTTGAAAGACAACAGTTGACACAGTTGAGCTACTGAGGTGCGACTGGCTTGTGTACTCTTATAAATTGAAGGTGAATACACATAAAGAGTATCTAATTTGTGTCGCGTTCACCGTGGCCTAATCCATGTGGAAATTGATTGGTTACATCAGGAGCCAATTGGGCTCCTGGTTACACTAATAGCTTCAGAATCACTTTACCCTTAAATGAGTCTGTAAATTATGTGTGGTCGCTTTGTCAAAGATAACTATTGAGCAGCAGAGCCGTTTAAAATTCCAAATGCAAGCAGCTAGAACCACAAATAACAAAGGAAAAATTACTAAAGTAGATCCTGAATTATTTTATGATCTTTCCTTACTAATCCTGCCGATATCTTCAAAGAGTGCTCTTCAGGCAAACTTTTGGACAGTCAATATGTAATTTAAAAAAGATCACCAAAAAATTTCATTTATTAAGACATCTTATTTACATCTTTATTGAGATATCTTGCGAACATAGGCACATGGCAAAACCAAAAGGCTCGCGGTAAAACCAAAAGGCTCCCGGAAAAACCAAAAGACACACGACGAAACCAAAAGGCTCACGACGAAACCAAAAGGCTCACGACGAAACCAAAAGGCACGTCAAAACCAAAAAGTTCACGGTAAAACCAAAAGGCACACGGCAAAACCACAAGGCTCACGGCGAAACCAAAAGGCACACGGTAAAACCAAAGGCTCACGGCAAAATCAAAAGGCTCCCGGCAAAACCAAAAGGCTCGCGGCAATATAATTAATAAATGATAACACCCTATTCCCGACATCACCATGGCAGGGTGGATTTTAATAATTGAGGAGTGTTATATTTACCTGTAAACAATCAACCCCACTCCCTCCCTCACAGAGCTCCAACCTTCCCTCCCCCTCAACAATCATTGTATTTGTGTTGTAAAAAAATTACGATAATATTGAAGACAAATTTTCATAATTTCTTTAAACATAAAAATATTTAGTGATCATTAAGTGACGCGCCCAAAGCCCTAAAGTCTTTTGGGCTGTTTAGAAAATCGAGAGGAAAACAGTGGAAGACAAAGATTAGTAAGAAAACCTAAAGAAAGAAAGTAAGTCTGTTGGACTGGAAGGAAACTGATATGAAGTTGTAACCTGTAATGAGGAAGAGAAGTGCATTTAAAATATCCAAAGAAGAAGAATATATGCTGGTCCATAAAGATGGGAAACAAGCCCAATTTCTGCCAGGAACTGTGGAAGTTTTCGTGTGTTTATCATTATTATTTAAATCACAACTAGAAACTTCTGTGCCTTGAAAGCAAGAAAAGGAATTATTTCTTTGATAGTTAGATGGTAGATGCTTAAAATCATAATGTGTATTATTTAATTGTTAGAACCTAACATGAGCAAGATGAACTAATTATGGAATGAATCCTGACATCATACTTCAAATATTCTTTCCCTGTAAGGCGACGGGCTCTTGGCAGGTTTATGTGTTTCTAAAAAGTTTTATTTTACCATTTCGCAATTTCAAAAGCAGAATCCTAAACATGTTTTGGTTCATTTGTTATTTCTTACTCATTCTCTTGGATAGTCAGTCCTTAATTACCTGTCCTATCTCAGCGAAGGAAGAACCAGTATTTTTTTTTTTTCTTATTTTCGTCCGGTTTTGTCCCCCGATTTACCTTTCATTCTTTTTTTTTTTTTCATCTGGTTCTGTCTCTCTTGGGGAGTTGGTTCATTTTAGACTGTGTGTTATTTTCTTATAACAACTAATTTGAGTTTGAATCTCAACAAGATTAAATTTACTTGTCTTGATGGTACATATCCTTTCCTTTACAGATTAACTTTTACGTTAACCATGAAAAATCGTGATGAAAAAGCCATGTTTGTTTTAATTAAAAAATTAGCTCTTCTGTTGCGATGACTAACGAATTCGAACTGAATCAACCCCATATAGTTCGTGCACGTTCCATTGACCAACTTTCTGGTCGATGTTTTTTTTATCTTTGTGGTGTCTGGTGGTGTCTGCCCTCAATTCTCGTGGATGTTTCATTTAAAATTAATGATGAATTTAGGAATTTAATATTAACGAATAAAATACCTCTTCTCGTCACGTACTCCATTGCATTTACATTTCCATCTCCGTTCCCAACTGTGACAACTTCCCTTGCCTAAAAATCAACTTGAGATACGAGATGTAATATCGGTCATAGATTGTAAAAGAGGTTTGTGAGTAAAGAACTTTTTCTACTTGTCTTTGTTTATTTTCTCGCAGCCTAATACATGTAGTTTGCAGTGTTCGCGGCGGCGCGCCAGGAAACCCCGGCAGGAAAAAAACTTCTAAGATTTTACTCCTTTAATGATCGCTTTAATGAATATTTCTTCCTTATGTGTTGCCGGCCATGGGTGCAAAAACTCCATTATGTATTTCTTTACAAGCCAATATTGTCAGAGAAAAACAGCTCGAGTTCTGCTGCGCTTTGTGATCCATGAGTGATCTCATCGCAGTTAGAGCTTTCTGTTGTTTGTGGTGTCATCTTCCTGAGTGGAGTTACCGCTACTACATTTTTGTTAGCGTTTAAAAATCGAAAAATGCATGGTTTTGGTGAAATAAATTCATCCTTTTCAACTCTTAACGACTGTCGAGTTGTGTGTATCAATAGAATGGGTCAGCAAATTTGCATTATATGTTTCGCGAGGCGCTAGAAAAAATGGTTGACCCTACGCGAGTGAAGCCGACGCTTCAGGTCGGCGTCGATCCTTTATTGTCTTCGGAAAAAAAAATCCTATTATTGAGTTAGACTGTAAAATTTCTTTGGCTTACATTGTATGCTTTAAAGTAAACATGAGTTTTAGTTCCACGCGAGGGTTTAACCTTGAAAAATGCATGCACTCAATTGACGCTGACATTAACGCGTGTCCCTAGCGGCCTATCTGGAAAACATTTGTATTATGATAAGAAAGGTCAACTTAAAAGACTTGGGTTACTCTCGCCATGCAATTTGGACGCCAATAAAAAGCAATTCATCCGCAACACCTCGATCGTACTGTGGACGCGAACTCGGTTCTTTTGTGTCGGGCGGATCTCAGATCCACCGTAGCCTAATTTGCAAAATTTTATCGATGGGCAAAGCTCGTCATAGTGAAGTGAGTGAAAGTCAGACGGCATCTACTTAAGAACGGATTAAAGAAAACTTGACACTGACTGGATAAAAAGGCGTCTTGGGGAAGGTTTCCTTTTCCCGACGATTGGTAAGCGTGGGATTTGATCACGTGTCATGCAATGGAAACAGTAAAACTAGAACTTCTCGCATCAAAGATAGGTTCTGTAATCATTCCAGAGAGATGTACGAAATACATTCAAGCGTCTGAAATACATCAAGCCTTGTTGTTGTGTATTAGGGTTCAATATACTAAAATAGAACAATGCGTGAATCAGACCATGTGCACTGCCATGAAATTAATTACGCTGTTGGATAGTCCAGACAAAACCAATCAATTTAGGAGGGTGGCTAAGCGTTTACGCATGACGTGTAATAAAGTCCATGATTAATAAGTGACTCGTGAATTTTACAAAAGGGGCAACGGTGATTCGTATAACTTTTAAGCTATAGTGAGGTGTGATTTGCCTCCTGAAATATACGTGACTCCTGGTATTGTTTCTTTTATTTCGCAAAAACCTCGAGACATCTCTCAGAACCCGCACTGAGAAGATTGATTTGAAGATTTTCCTTTTATGTTCATGCCTGGATAGAGTCCCGCCTCCCCCTCCCGCTTCCCTATTATATGATAAAAGGATAGCTGGTGAAATTCCGCGAAAAACATGCGTGCGCCGTGGGATAGTCTAGACAAAACGATAACGATGATCTCATTTTTAGGAG